GGAGATCTAGTCCTATTGGCAGACATCCATTTAAAATGTAGGCAACGGCATGAAAAAAGTGGTTTCTACTTTTACTTTTATACTTTAAGTAAATTTACAAACCTGTACTTTGTTACTTTTACTTGAGTAAAGAAGTTTAATCAGTACTTCCACTTTTACCAGAGTATTTTTTAACACAAGTATCTGTACTTTTACTCAAGTACGGAAAGTGAGTACTTTTGCCATCTCTGGAATAGATAGAAAAAAGATGTTAAAATCCCGAAAAGGATCTGAAATTTACCGGGACACATTAAATAGAGAAGCCAGGGACCGGTATGCTGACAAAATCAGCATTATTAATAATTTGGATCCATATGAAGTTCCAAACAATGACTTGTTGCCACTGTTTTGCATATCAGACGTCTTCGGCTACCTTGTTTGTGGTGTGAGCGCCTATACTTCAGAACAGTTCCAAAGCTACAAGTCCTTGTAGTCTCATGTGCAGTTCACGAATGGATGGGTTCAGGAGCTGCAGCTCATAAAGCCAGCAAACAGTGCTAACCGTTAGTGCTAACAACCACTCAGGCATGTAATGTACTTTTAACTAGCTGCTATGTGTTTCAAAGGTTTGGTTAGTAACGTTAACTGCCAAACCTCCCTAAACCCTCCGGGTTTCTCACATATTTGAGCCTTTTCCCACTGGTTGAAATCAAGTTAAGGTGAAATTAATCAAATTAAAACACGGCTGAGAGAGGGAGTCCAGTACGCGGTAGTCATAGGCAGTAGTCTGAGTAGCGGCGGCGGAGACGGTCAACATTGCGGCCACGGAAAGTAATACGTCATGACGGCCAAGCCCTATTATTAATATATTCCTACATGTTTTAAATGCTTGACAGTTAATTACCTGTGACAAAGTGAGAACTGCAGACTCTGGCGTATTGAATATCCGTGGATATCCGTGTCAGCCATAGGTGACGGCGTTGTTCAGATAGCTGTTTTGTTTTTTCACATTGATTCACGATTACGGCTGGTATTCAATAGAAAGAGGGTTGATCTCCACCTCCACGGGCCGTGCAACCAACAATTAAACACGTTTTCACCATTTTTCACTGTCAATACTGCCTAAGGCGTCATACAATGCAGGGTCAACGGTGCGAAACCACTGCCACCCAATATGGCGGACGCGCTGAGTAGTCACGTGAGCGTGACGTCACCTGAAAACCCCCTATTTTTCACCTGCATGTGTGCTTCTGACAATTCTCTTAATCCCTTTTGACATCCACGAAATGGGAGAGAATTGTCTATTGTCACCCATCAAGACAATGAGATGCCAACCCTGGGTACCTCCATCTGAAAGTTTCTCCAAAAAAAACATCAGTAGACTTAACTACTTCCAAGTTACTGTTTTATGCAAGATCCTGAACATTCAGTCTGTTCTGCCCATGTCTGCATGCTCTGTGCTTAGATGTCCAGAATTGTCTACTGCTCCACTTGTGAAAGTAAAATCTGTTGGGCTCTTTTTGGCATCAAGACAATATTCTTATTGCCACATTGCCAGACAGGACGCTGTTAAAAAAACAAAAAAAAAGAAAAAAGAAAAAAACTTGCAGACGGTCCCTACACATTTGTGGAGGAGCTCTGAATAGTGTCCAATGTAATTCTCCCAGCGCGATAGGAGACTCGTTTTGTGGAAACTACGGTTGTAGCTCACTGCGTGCCTTGCTGTGGTTGCGGAAAGGTGTCTATTTTGTATCTGTGAATATATTGCCAACCTCACCACAGTCTCATAATGCTGTCTTTCTGCAGCGGAGGAGAGATTTGCCCCTTCCTAAATACGGCAGATGGTCATTATTTTATAAATATTATGCTTTCACTTTCACTACAGCGTTCCAGCTCATGCAGCTGTTTTCATTGTACAGATCAGTTATCGTCTGTTCGCTGCGCTGGTGGCTCCACTTCCAGTGTTGGCGACACTGATGACGTAGACCTAGATATGATTTCCCCCCCTGCTCTCAGGCAAAACAGTCTTCAACAGAGAGGCCTGAGCTAAAACCGAAACTGAATGGGGTGGAATGGTTCTCCAACGACAGCACAAACGGGGAATTTACATCTGAAAAGGGATTTATTAGTTGTGAAGTACTGTTGGGAGGACTGGGGATTAATGACAATTCTAGTATCTCTGGGATTTCTAGTGTTATCTCTGTTGTTGTGCTCTGTCTGGTGTTGGTTTTTACAAGATTGCAGTAACTGTACTTCTTTCTTCTTTCAAAGGTCAGGCTGCTGTTGCTATAATGCAGCTTACCGTATTTTCACGACTATAAGGCGCACTTAAACGTCTTTTTTTTCCCTCAAAATGTGCAGTGCGCCCTATGGTGCGGTGCGCCCTATGTGTGTTGTAACTGCGACTTTTGAGACCACCTCATTGAGGAGATGATGAAAGAGTGGCTGAATGTAAGGAGACCAGGTGTTTTTTTCCACTCATCACCATCGCTGTTAATATGTATTTCCATGCGTGCCCATCTCACAGCTGATGTGAAAAACATGGGGAAACAAATTAACCCTGTGCTCGCTGTTCAACCGCTCGACATCGGTGTGAACCGGACCCAGCAGGTGCAGCAGAAGCAGCGAGTTTACATGCAGTCAATGGTTGACGCGCGTATAGATGCAGCAAAAGGTCCTGCAGCGCGTTTTGAGCAGCAGGAGCGTTTAAGCATCTGCTGCTCGAGATGGAAAAATGGAAGTTTTGCTGCTGGACGCGCCGCATCAACCAATCAGAGAAGCTGATCTGGGAGCTGACAGCGAGACAGACACAGCGCTCTGATGACATATGATATTAACGCAAATGGAAAAGGCTGGATGGATGAGGAGATGATGAAAGCGTAGCTGAGGGAGGTGTAGCCTATGTGAGGAGACCAGGTGGTTTTTTCCACGCATCACCATCGCTGCGTGCCCATCTCACAGCCGATGTGAAAAAAAAGGTGAATCAAATGGATACTGTGTTCGCCGTTATCCCGGGGGTCTGACAAAGGAGCTTCAACCGCTCAACATCAGTGTGAAGCGGCCGTTCAAAGTAAGGCTGCGAGCGGCGTGGGAGCGATGGATGGCCGACAGAGACCACAGTTTCAGGATAATTGGAAGGCAGCGCCGGGCAAGTTACGCCACAGTTTGTGGATGGATTGTAGATGGACTAACGTGTCTGCTGGCTCTGTTGTACAAGCTTTTGCAAAAGCCGGCATTATTTCTGAGGAGCTGCGCTGCACGGAAAGTGACTGACAGCGAAGGAGGGGAAATTGGCATGTCTGATTTAGCGCAGCTGTTTTATTCAGAAACAGAGGATGATGACTTTGATGGGTTTGATGAATACTTTGTAATAAATACATGAATAAAGCACAATCATACTCAGTTTTGCTCCCGCTCTATTTTTCTACCTGAAAACTTAATTCAACAGCAGCCTCTGGGCGGGTCTCCTCCTCTTCACCGCGGCGGCTGGCAGGTGTTTTTCATCTAAATAATCTAAATCTTGCAGCTATATTTGCTGTGATCAGTGGGAATTAAGTAGTTTTATTATGTTTTTAAGTGAGAAAGTCCACCTGAAAACTTAATAATTGCAGTCAGTTCATCCAGATTATCTATTTCTGTCGGAGGCGCTCAGACCCCCACATACCAGCGGTGCGCCGACAGGAGAAATCCTTTCATCAGCAGCCTCTGGGCTGGGTAGCCTCCGGGTTCACGCGGTGGATGGCAGGTGTTTTTCATAACCCATAAAAGCGAACATATTCCGTCGGCAGGTTTCAGGATTTTAAGTTAATTTAGGAGTGATCACAGCACTGTGTCATCTGCGATGTGTCTGTCTCACGGCCAGCTGCCAGGTTTGATTAATACTTTTTAATAAATACATGAATAAAGCACAGTCATACTCAGTTTTGCCCCCGCTGTATTTTTAAATACGCAGTAGAGGTATTTAAAGGTAGTAGAGGACATGTACCTGTATATAAAAAACGCGCCCTATAGTCCGGTGCGCCTTATGTGTGTGTTAAATACAGAAATGGGACACATAACTGAGACTGCGCCTTTTAGTACGGTGCGCCTTATGGTCGTGAAAATACGGTATTATCATCAGCAAGCAAATGTGTGAATGAAGAGTGACTGACTGAAAATAGTGTGAAGAAATTTGGACCTCTCAGACTCGATACAGAGAGTTCCATACAAATACAGTCCACTTGCTATTAGATAATGAACCAGAAATTTAAGAGATTTACACAGCAAAAACGATCTCTAGAAATAAGTCAAAATGAATGAGTCATTTCACTCTTAAAATACGATAATCAGATAACATGCACTTGAAATACAACAATTCAACTGTTTTTTTCTTATTATAAATGTCAATTGTCTTGTTCCATTGGCAAAGTGTCTCACTTACCTGCTTAATTTAAGAAAAAAATCACTTAATTTAAGAAAAAACAACAACACTTATTTAGATTTTAATTTTTTCCAGTGAGGATTTGAAATGTTACACCAGTGAAAGCTGGGAGTTCATAAACCTGAACACCATCTCTTTATTGCTGTAATTGAAAGTCCAGACATGATCAGGATGTATCCCCTGTGTTACTGACATTTGACCATACTCAAAATGACAGATATGACTGATTAGTTCTCTGGGAAGCCTCATCAATGATCTGACTGCCAATCAAACATGACCTTTTAGAAGATAGACGATGCATTAATGAGATCACAGGGAGATTCAACACTAGCTTTCCAATCTATCCTCTGCAGAGGTTTAAAAAATAGAGTTGCAAGAATTAAGTTTGACTTGCCCTATCTTAATAGTACAGAAGTACAAGACATTCTGTACTTCATCCACAAAATAAGATATATTAAGATAGAGTTGGATAAAGTGTCTCAGCAGAGAGTATTCTTACGGCAAATTTGTTCCATACTTAGACATAAAGTACTGCATATATGATCAGGAGAGACAGGGGCAGATGAAAAACAAAGATTTCGATTTTGTGTAAATGAATCACCTCCATCTTTCTCCAAACATCACCATTCCGATCCTGGATGTTCTTCAAGAGTTTTTTCATCATAGAAGAAGCACATCCACACCCAGCCAGCAGGGGCACTCTTAGCTGTGGGGAGTAATCCACAGACCTCTCTTCCTCTTCTGACAGCAGTTCACTCAAAGGACCCGATTCAATGCTTTCTTCCACTGAGGGAGCAATATCGCTCGAGGAGGTTGAGCTGAAGCACCTGACCGAGTGTTGTTTATAAGGTTGCTGAGCAAAAGAACACAGAGGAAAATTATTTAATCCTAAATTGGTTTTCTTCTGATGATAAAACAAAGAATGTCATACCAATGATGGCAGGGGATACTGGTTGTTATCCCCTCTTTCCGGTGCATTTTTTATGTTGATTTCACTTTCTCCATTGTTCCAGTCTACATTAAGCTCTGACAGCTCCCAGTCATCTATGTTCTGCAAACTTATCTGTCCCTGCAGTAAAAAGATTGGGCAAAAACACCAGAAATAGTTTATAAAGCTGTGTTAGATTATCAATACAATCTGTAGGATTAAGTTTAGGTAGAGATAGCAGACTCAGGATTTGTACTTACCTGGGCACTTGACTGTATCAGACTTTCCAATTTCACAGCTAGCAACTCAGTTTCATGAAGCTGAGCAGGGAGGGCCAGGAACTCGTCTGACCCGAACCAGTGCTCCTTGGCAAGGTTGGTTTTTGATGGAACCTTTTTCCCCTGTTGAACAAGAAAGTCTAATCAGCATTTTGATCTTTCAGCCAATTCACTCCAAAACCGAACCAACAAACAAAATGCACCAACAACTATTTGTCAATCTAAAATCTATAAGTAATTCATATCAACATTCATAAAAGTAACATGGTAAATCAGAGTGCTTATTTTGGTACTTTTTATTTGGCACTCTATCAAATGCTCCTTTTCCATGGGCCCAACTTCTACGATCAAAACCAAAAGCCAGCAGAAAATGAATTTCAGTATCTGAAACTAAATATGATTGCTGTAAGTATACCTATATTTGAAAAACCTGAAACCAGATGTATTGTTCAGCGTGGAGGGCTAGACACTCTGTGTATACAAAATGACAATAAAAGTTGCCAAAGTATAAATCTAAGAGAGCTTTAATGTCCAGCCCTCCTAGCAAGGCTTAAAAAAAGCCAGCCCCACGATCGAAAGACAAGTAATAAAAATCATTTTCAGAACAGCCTGAGTAGGTTAGCCTCTTCATGCCATCTGACAGTGACAGCGTTTTCATCTCTGGAGTTTTTTTAACAATGTATTGATAGTGGTGATATATTTGAGGTAAATCCCATGATGTTTGTAGATGTTTACATTTGCAAAATCCTCGTCAGTAGGAGCTGCTGCTCATTCACCATGTTTTTCGTCTGGATCCGTCAGCGTAGTTATACATTTTCCTAGGTGTCTGTCCAGCACCCACTGATTTCTATTTATTCACTGAACTACAGTCTATTGCTTGGTACTCCTTACTCTCACTGAGAAGTGCTATAAAAATGCCTACATGCTTGGCTGCAAAAACAAGCAGTTTTATGACTCTGGTAAGTGTTTCAAAGTTAATTTCACAGTAAGTAGATGTACAACTCAAGAAAATCCATATACACGGCGATGTATCCTACTGTATAGCATGAAGCGTAACATTAGTCTGGCTATCTCGGATTCCACCAGACTTCTGCACAACACAACTGATGGTCCAAACCCTAACCCATTTATAAGGCAAGAAATCCAATTTATTAAACCAAACAGAGACACCAGTGAAGTGAAAACAATTTCTGGTGGCTACCTCATGAAGTTCATCAAGAGAATGCCAAGAGTGTGCGAAGCAGTAATCAAAGCAAAAGGTGGCTACTTCGAAGAACCTAGAAAATAAGACATATTTTCACTTGTTTCTAAAAATAGAATGGGAGGCAGATCTTTTAGTTATCAGGCTCCTCTCCTTTGGAACCAACTACCAGTTTTAATCTGAGGCAGAGACCCTGTCTACTTTTAAGACTAGGCTTAAAACTTTCCTTTTTGCTCAGGCTTATAGTTAGAGTGGCTCAGGTTATCATGAGTTACCTCTATAGTCATGCTGCTATAGGCTTAGACTGCTGGAGGACATAGGGACCCCCATTTCATCATTCTGCTTCATTCTGTCTCTATTCTCCCAATCTGCAAAATCTGTTAGTTCAATCTCTAACGTTCTGCTCTCTCTGCTTTTCCTCATAGTAGCTTTGCCTCGTCTGTTTCTGTTTGGCTGTGACACCATCCTGGAGAGAAATATCAGCTGTGCTGCTGCCATCAACATCCTTGTTTATAGATGCTGGAGATCAGTGTAGTCCTGTTTCTCTGAGCATGACTGGCTGGATGTGCTTTCTTCATCCTCTGACATGGGAGCTGGCTCGGAGCTCGTCTGCCTGGCTGTGTGTTTCCTGGACAGGGCCGCCTTTTACAGCTGCTTTTTGTATCTCTGCTTCTGTCTCCTTGAACCACAGTCGGCCTCAGCAGATGGCCGCTCACACTGAGTCTGGTTCTGCTGGAGGTTTCTTCCTGTTCAAAGGGAGTTTTTCCTCTCCACTGTCGCTACAACCATGCTTAGTGTGAGGGATTGCTGAAGAGTCAATGAGTCAATGCAATCAACTGGTTTTCCTTAGATAGAAAACTTTGAATCAATTTGACTGTATGATCTGGTTGAACTGTAAAGTGCCTTGAGATGACATATGTTGTGAATTGGCGCTATAGAAATAAACTGAATTGAATTGAATGATGGCAGCTAGGAGAGCGGAATAATACAGAGGACAAAGGCGAGGGCTTGACTGATGGGCTGCTGCAGACCGCTCTGGGCAGCTTATAAGTGACAACGCCACAAAGCAGGAGCAGATTGACTAGATGACTGCTCATTGCCGATCAATTAATTATGTGTTTAACAACAATAATACACTTTTTTTTTTCATCGATATTATGGATAAATCTCACTGTAGTCATCTCAATAACGAGTGAGGAGCAATCCTTATAAACACAGAACAATCCTGTTTTTCAACTGATGGCTGGAAACCGTAGGTTGTAAACACCTTTTCAATGAACAAATACAACCAGTAGTTAGTTTGAGCTGCTATGGCCTTCATCTGCTGTGATTAACTAACTGGGCTGCTACAAACGGAAGTAATTTAAGACCTGCACACAATCAGAATTACTATGGATACCCTGTTAAGAAAAGACTCTTTGTGAAGTACAGAGAAGATTATTCATCTTATAAAAACCACCCCCTTATCAAAGCAGCCGAGGACACAAACTTCCACAAAAACAGAGCATTTTCAGCACACATTAGCTAAGGTTAAGGCAGTGTGTGTGTGTGTGTGTGTGTGTGTGTGTGTGTGTGTGTGTGTGTGTGTGTGTGTGTGTGTGTGTGTGTGTGTGTGTGTGGGTGTGTGTGTGTGTGTGTGTGTGTGTGTGTGAGAGAGTGAATTTTGTATAATATACTTCCTAATGGTCTTAATGCAGTTAGGGTGCTATGCTAAGTTCATACAGAATGCAATTTGAGCAGCAAAAGCAGCAGATCTAAATGCAAAAATCTATGGCTGACGAGCATTAAGGTAAATCAAAAGGTCCTGCAGCAGCAGGAGCAGCACATCTTGTTGCATTGGAACAGCTGAAGCAGAGCCTCATGAGCTTCTAAGCATTGGAGGCATACTTCACAAGCAGCAGATGCAGGAGTTGGAAAAATTTACATCAACCCATAGACTAGCAGGTAGGTACCAGTCCATCCTGTCAAGGAAAAAAAATGCTGTAAAAACAAAAGAATGATAGGCTCAAACCTGAAGCGTCTTGCTTGACTGTGGAGCATTTTCTGGATGAACTGAGCCCAGTTCTAACCACAACTTGGATCTGTCCAGAGGATCCAGAACAGATGGGCTGCTTCGACTTAGCTCAGCATCAAACTTCAGTTCAGATTCCTGATTGGCCTTCCTAAAACTTCCCATTGATCTGGTATCATTGCTCGAGAATACAGCTGCGCTTTTTGGAAGCAAGGAATGTGTGGGTAAAGACTCGGTGCTCTGATTAACAGCTTGTACTGTTTGTTTCGAGCTTTCGCTGTTATTGGGAATTTCACTTTGATTTGCAGGGAATAGAGGTGTATAATTATTAGCGTTTTCCAAGTCATTTGTACCAGAGAGCTGTGGTAAACTTGTTTGTATTTCAAGATTTGTGTTTGTGGTATCAGTGATTTCCAGGAAGGTGTCCTCTGTTGTGGGATCCATTTCCTGATCTTTGGGACTGTTACTGGGACTGTAGTCGCTTAGCTCAAATGCAGTAATGCCACAGTCCAGGGAAAAGTAGTTCTCGCTGCAGCGTATTGTCAGCTGACCGCAGTCATCAACTTCTGTTAGAGCATCCAGACGGGTCTGAAGACAAAAAAATTTATCAAACAAACAGTTTAATCTTTATGTTTCAGAATATCATTAACCAAGCATATTAAAAGAAATTGTTACAAATATTCATAGACATTTAAAATATTGTAGGATGAATTGGCACATTCTTTTATTTTTTTTAATGTTTTAATTCTTTTTTTGTGGCTTTTAATTCAAAAGTAAAAAAAAAAAAAAAAAAAAAGCTTTTAGCTGCAAAAGATCATTTGACTTTAGTAAACAAACCTGGTGCTGGTCCTGGCTTAAAGCCTGCAAGATATCAGTCTGGCGCGTGTAGTTTCCATTAGAGTCCTGTAAACCCTGCAACAGACGTTCTTTTAGAACCAGAACTGATACTCTCAGCTGATGCCACAGCAGCTGCACCGTCCTGAAACATACAATAATAGCAGAATTAGCAAAGTATGGTTGAATAATATTAATCTAAATTCAACATGTTATGACTGACAACAGCTGCAAAAAGGAGAGAAAAGAATTTGTTCACAAATTAATTTCTAATTTGTTAGCTCCAGTATTCAGACTAAAGAGAAGAGGAGAAAAACCTCTACACAAAAAGTTTAATAATGCAACAGGACTTTCTAAAAATCATGTTTAGTGCAGGCTTAGTGATTAGGAAACTCACCTTATGTCTACAATGATGTTACCAGAGTAAGACAAATGTTTCAGGGAGAACTCTGTCTCCAGCAAAGCATGAATCTCCTCCACATGGTCAGAAATGTCCTCACAGATGTCCTAAAGTCACAAACATAAAAATAATATCAGAACAGAAATAAACGCAATGTCACATGGGAAATGATAAATACGATTATCCCTAACACATGCTACTGACTGTGTGTCTGCAAGTGTGGGATATGAGTAATATATGTGCAAGGTCATAAAAAAAAGCAGAAGTGGTAGGACTTTATATCGAATACACTTTTCACAATGAGTCAATTTTCATGTGGAGTTAAGTTCATGTTTGAGGGTTTTATCAATGAAGAGCAACAGGAGATCTTCCTTTAGTAAAATCAACCTAAGACATCCTTATATCGCTAAATTGATTATAGATGCGATAAATCCAAACTAATGGTGAAGGTCAACATCCATTTTGTAATGCATTCTGATTAAAAAAAGTACAATTTTACGTTACATATAAGTTGCTGCATATTAAAATTTATAAAGTAAAACTATGCCTGAACGTTCAATGTGGTTCTATCTTTTGCGTGAGGAGTAGCAGCTGCCATTTTTCGCATGACTGGGATCAGCACTATGTAATCACCTCATGGACCATTAAAAATATATAAATTCATCTCATGATCAGAGTTCCAACGCCCTTAAGCTTGACATGTCTGTTGACGGCCAACCCAAGGTAGATAATTCTAAAAAAAAAAAGAAAGAAAGAAAAGAAAAAAAATATGAAAATGCGAAAATTGTGGTGTGGGTATTGATTTTATACTGTTTCAGTATTCAAGTAATTAGGGAAAAAAAGAGTACAAAATGTTATCTAAAAACCATTTGTTGTGTGAATGCCATATGTTTTTTACAGAAAATTTACAAATAAAGAGCATTTTGCAGACCAGGAATGGCAAGAAAACCACTATTTCCACTGCGCTGTAGATAGACAGTAATGCTGTTCAAAGCTTTCTAGGACTAGAATATCAAATAGCATCACAAGATTTGCATACCCCATGGACACATTATCTATAACTAGAAGGAGTTTGACCACAAACCTACCAAGACAGCCATATTAAGCCATACCAGAGGAGTGGTAATATAAACAGTGGTGGCCCCTAGATTCTCGTACTAACTCCCACTCCCATTCTTATTGTAGACTTCTTCTTAAAGGTTATTAAGTGGACCATAGATTCACAAACTTCACAAGAAAGGTAAAAGGGAAAACTTTTTGTTTCAGGGCAATAATTTTTTTTTTCATTTGGAACAGATAATTTTTTTTTTGTCTTAGCAAATAATTATTTTTACAAATCATTATTTCACAATTTACAAGAATAATTACAAGGATTTCTGTACAATATGTGTGCAGGTTAGCTGGCTGGTGTCCTCACAGACATTTTTAACACCTCCCTGGACCAATCTGTAGTGCTAGCATGCTTCAAGACTGCCACCCTCATTCCGGTTCCAAAGAAGCCTCAGTCCACCTCATTCAATGACTACCGGCCTGTCGCACTGAGTCCAAACATGATAAAGTGCTTCGAAAGGCTGGTTGAAGAACACATTGTCTCCAGCCTGCCACCAACATTCAACCCGTTCCGGTTTGCCTAAAGACGGAACCACTCCACTGTGGGCGCAATCTCCTGTGCTCTTCACCTGAGCCTGGCACACCTGGAGGAGAAGAAGACCCACCGGGGGATGCTTTTCCTGGACTTCAGTTCACCTTTCAACACCATCATCCCACAGCATCTGATGGGCAAACTGGAACAGCTGAGCTTCAATACACCCCTCTGCAATTGGTTGCTAGACTTCCTCAGTCAGTCCGGGTCAGACAGAACACCTCTGATGTCATCATCCTAAGCACAGGCTCCCCTCAGGGCTGCGTCCTGAGCCCCCTGCTGTTCACCCTGATGACACATGACTGCATCCCCAGGTTCACCACCAATCACATGGTGAAGTTTGCAGACGACACAACGGTGGTGGGCCTCATCAGAGACGACAATGACCAGAATAACAGAGAGGAAGTGGAGCAGCTGGTGACAACAGCCTGAATGTGGAGAAGACGACTTCAGGACGAATCGGCCTAACCACGATTCACTGCTCATCAACAGCTCAGCTGTAGAGATGGTCAGCAGCACCAAATTCCTTGGGGTGCATATCACAGACTGTTGAAAAAACTCTAAATTATGTCACAGACTCTGCATCACACTGATAACACCGAACCAAATACTTCCATTTTTTGCACCATATATATGTCATTAAATGCTCTGAACTTCAAGATACATGCCTTTTTGCAGCATGTTTTTTTCTCCCACAACATCTACATTTGATCACTGCTGTGCTTTATGAAATGGAAATTTTAATTTCACTGCTAAGCTGCTGCTTATTTACTGTCTGAAAGCTGTACAAAACGAATTCTCGCATGCATTCTGTTTATACAAAATGATGATTAAAGTCTCTAAGCTTAAGTTTCTAAGTCTTAGAAATAGGATGTCTTATTTTCTTAAAAATAAGACATCTTATTGCTCATATCCTCTTATAAGTGATATGTGGAGTACAAAATTTGCATATCTGGCAAATATATTTCATCATCTGAATGAACTGAACACACACATGCATGGGAGAAATGAAACTCCACAAAATAAATCAATTGTGTCTGTAACTCTGGCAACGTGTGTAAAGTGTCCACCTTGAGAAAGTCCCCCCACACAGAAACAACATTGTGGCAGTGTTTGAGATATTTGCTAAACATTTGAAGTCTCTTGAACAGAAGCTGCCATTTGAGATCATATGCAAGAGATCATATCTCTCTTATGCTATCTTCTCCTCATTCTCTCATATAAAGCCTCAAATGGCCAAGATCCATCTCACATTAGAAATATGATTGTTCCTTATGTTCCTAACAGATCACTTCGCTCTCAATCTGCAGGTTTACTAGTGGTTCCTAGAATTTCTAAAAGTAGAACGGGAGGCAAATCTTTTAGTTTTCAGGCTCCTCTCCTGTGGAACCAACTAGCCGTTTTAGTCCGTGAGGCAGAAACCCTGTCTACTTTTAAGGCTAGGCTTAAAACTTTGCTTTATGATCAAGCTTATAGTTAGAATGGCACAGGTTATTCAGAACTATCTCTATAGTTATGCTGCTATGGGCTTAGACTGCTCGAGGACATAGGGACCCCTTTTACTTTTTTATCAGTCTGCTTCATTTTATCTCTATTTCCCCACTGCAGAACTTGTTAGTTCAATTTGTAACATTATGCTCCCTCTGCTTTTCCTCATCATAGTTTCATCTGGTCTTTTCTTGTTTGGCTGTGACTCCATCCTGGAGAGAAATATCAGCTGTTGCCATCAACACCTTTGTTTATAGATGTTGGAGCTTGGCCTGTTTTATGTTTAGTCCTATTTCTTTGACTGTGACTAACTGCATCTGCTCCCTTCATCCTCTGACATGGGAGCTGACTCGGAGCTCTTCTGTCTGGCTGTGTGTTTCCTGGACGGGGCCGCCTTTTACAGTTGCCTTTTGAATCTCTGCTTCTGTCTCCTTTGGCCGCAGTCGGCCTCGGCAGATAGCCGCTCACACTGAGCCTCGTTCTTCCTGTTGAAAGTGAGTTTTTCTTTTCCACTGTCCCTACAAACATGCTTAGTGTGAGGGATTGCCTTTGAGTCAAAAAGTCAATATAATCAGCTGATTTTCCCTAGATAGAAAACTTTTAATCAATTTCACTGGATGACCTGGTTCAATTGTCTCTGTAAAGTGTCTTGAGATGACATGTGAATTGCTGCTATATGTGTAGGGGGGAGTGCCAACCTAGTGGTTAGAGCAGTGCACTTTTTGGTTCACCAGATCATACAGTCAAATTGATTTAAAGTTTTCTAAGGAAAGCCAGATGATAGCATTGACTAATTGGCCTAAAATGCAATCCCTCACAATAAGCATGCTTGTAGTGACAGTGCAGAGAAAAAAAAAATACCTTTTAACAGTAAAAAAACCTCCAGCAGAACCAGCCTCATTGCAAGCGGCCATCTGTCGAGGCCAACTGGGGTTCAAAGAGACAGAACGATGCAGTCAGCTAGAGGGTGCTGAACATCCTCTGGTGGTCTGGACGGACCATAAGAATTTATTTTACCTTCAGTCAGCTAAGAGGCTCAACCCTTGTCAATCACAATGGTCATTATTCTTCTCTAACCTATCGATTTCTTTTCGCCCAGGATCCAGAAACGTTAAGCCAGATGCTAATATTCTCCCCAGATGATTCCGAGAAGACTCCTGCCCTCATTCACCCACCTAGCTGTTCTGTGGCTACAGTGACCTGGGAGATTTTGGATCTTGTAAAGCAAGCTCAGCAATCAGAGCCAGATCCCGGCACCAGCCCCCCAATAAGATTTATGTTCCTACAGCAAAGTGTGCAAAATGTGTGACTCCCTGAAGTTGTACTGTTGCGCTCAGATTAACACACCAAGTAGGATGTTAGAATGTAAACTGCGAATAGGTTTGCTCTCTTCTCGTTATAATTAGAAAACTAATTAGCAAACTAATGGTCTTTCTTTTTGCAGATTGTTATGTCTCCAATCTTTGTGTCCAACATAGGAGACTAAAAAGACCATGCAAAAGAGCACAACACTCAGCCATAATACAAACTAAAAATAAATAATTACACAAACACACACATGAACCAGTTATACCTAAGTCAGATAGACAAGACAAGAAATGCCCAACACAAATTCTATACAAGTATATTGCAGCAATTTTAATTTCAAACTTCAGTCTAAAAGAGGTTGACTTCTCCTTCACATCCAATAGTTGCTCAGCCCCATCACAACTGACACCAAGGGCTTCTCCATGGCCATGTTCAAACTTCTCATGACAGCTTGGCCTAATCTATGCCCAATTGATCCAATATTCTTCAACTCCCCCACTCCAACCCATCAATGCAATATTTATTTTACCTTGAAGATTAAAAGAAATGCTCCCACCTTTCCTGAAGAATTCAAATTAAATAGCTTCAAAGAGAAGCAAACCCCACTGTTATGATGAAAAGAGTTGTTCAATTTATTTTTAAAGGGATTTTTTCTGTGATAATTAAAGT